ATGTCCGCTAAGGGATGGACAGTTGGCAGGTCACACCTGCGGTGGCACCTGAGACCAACAAGGCGAGCGCAGCCGTGACATGAGCGATGAGTAGGTCGTCAACGGCTGGCAGTTCGCTGGCACAGGGTAGCAGTTGAAAGTCGACAGGTTATAGTGGTGGATGTGGAGGCACAGGCTAGAACCGCGACCGAGTCAAAGCGGCAGGGGTTCCAGTTCCGTATTACACTGGGGAGACAGTTTTTTTCATGTTCGGGTACCAGTTCGAGACAGTGTCTTTCGTGTTCGTATATCGCGCTAGTAGTGGCCGGTTGCTTACACTTGGACTGCAGTAGCGTAAACCATATCAATCTCTTAGACATATGTAGAAATACACGAAGTTTTGCACGTGAGACGGGTTAGTGCGAGCGGAGCCAGAACAATACGGCTTTGGTGGGGAGTACTGAACACAAGTATGGCAGTTGTTTGTTTGATCAAACCCATCTTGCAGATAGACACTTTGTGATTGTTTCAGGCGAGACAGCAACGTGAAGGAGCGCCGCAGAAAGCTGTGGTGAATTTGGAATGAGATTAAGTGGACACGTCAAAGGCATTGGTTCCTGCCCAGTTTGAAGGATGTCTGAAGGCTCTGGTACAGGTATTGCTTGGTTGCTGCCATACAGAATCTTCTGTTCTTCCTCCTGGCGATTTCTTTGCCGAAAAGAGCAGAACGAGAAAATGGTGCAATAGTGCAGTTTTACTTTTCGAAGTTGTTGTCCGGGCACGCAATAAAAACAGCAATAGAATCTGTCAGGACAATATCTGCCAGTCTGTATGGTGAGACAGAAGCAAAAAACCAACCTAGATCAAGACAGCGTCGCTGTGGAATCAGCGGATAGCTGTTGCGTGGCAGAAAGCAAATGAGTTCGTAACAGGATTATGTTCATGGACACAATTATTGGTTTGTGTAGCCATGTTGAATATTGCAGGTGGCTCAGAACTTTGACTACAAGGCGGGACGTTGCTCTCTGGTGAGTGTTGTGCAACAAAGAGCAGCGTATAGCAGCGTATGTAACTGTCGAGGGATTTTCTGCATGTGCCACGATCTGGCTCCAGGAACGGGTCCTGGTGCTCTTGGAGCCAAGGAATGCAGTAGGAAAGGAATATAGGAGACCACAACGTGTTCGAACTCATGTAACGGAAACAGCGTCAGATAGGCCAAGGATGATCTAGGAACAAGCTGGTCACGGAACAGGTGTAGGTGGCCGACGCAGGAACTCGTGCTCTTGGAGCCGAGTGCTTCTGCCAGGGTAACGCGAGCAACTGTGGCCGTTGCGTAACATGGCAGAAGGGCGGGACCACGATGACATTTTGCAAGAGGTGAGGGAGAACATGTGTCAAATTCTTGGGCAAGATGTGCGGATCCAGCGAATACCAGGAGATGGATTCTGTTTCTTTCGCGCTCTAGCACACTGCTGCATGGATAGAGTCGATGTAAAGCAGGGCGATCTTGCTTGGAGTTTGTATGTCTTGGCGTTGGCCCTGTTGTGGGCAGCCGAAGAGTATCATGTGATTGTTGGCGACGCAGACAGCGAGACAGAAAGACGACGTAGCCGCCTCCGGCGGAAATGCTCAGATCAGAGACTTGCCAGTTTGGATGCGGTTCAATGTTACGTGTTGGACAAATTGGCAACGTTGCTCCGACGCGACGCAGTCTTAGACACCGACTGTTTTGCGGACGCACCGGAGATTGTCGCGATGCTGGCAAAGAACGGCTTGCGCGTCTTGGTGATCGATGTGCCTTTTTCTGGAACGGGGTGTGTGCTACCGGACAACATACACCTCAACTATGACGACTTTATAGTAGCTGCTGCCGACTGGAGAAGTTATGACGGTGTGTTGTTGTATTGGGGCGGTTGTCACTATGATAGCTTAGACGTATTAGGTGCCAGAAATGCTGCCGATCAAATTGCTGCTAGCAACTTGCAAAGACTTTGGGAAGAGTGTGCGGGTGCATTGGCCTCAATGGTCGCTTCATTTGACAGCGCAAGCAATGCGGAAGATCAGTTAAAGCTGGTGGAATTTATTGAAAAAGTAGATGCCCGCCAGAAGGTTGAATTTGAGGCTGGGGAAAAAACCAGAGAAAATGGACAAGCGCAGGACGAAGAGACCCATGCGGAAGCGTTGCGCAGGGATAGTGACGACGAGCATGGTGAAAAAGTCGATGTCAACCAGCAGGTTGAATGTGAGGCCGGGAAAGAAGCGAGAGAAAATATAGAAGCACAGGACGGAGAAAACAATGCGGAGGAGTTGAGCAGTGACAGTGACGAAGAGTTGCCAATGCGTGTCCGAAAAAATTTGTCTTTTGTGACGGAGCAGGACATGGAATTGAGGCAGGTGCGAGATCGGCCTTTGTTTCCAGCGGACCCAGCAGATGCGGAAGCTCTGCGCAGTTGGGTCGATGTGGATTCCGGCATCAGATTGCCGTTGGCTCACTGTGCCTTTCGACGCTGTCGCTGGATTGGTGCGGATTTGGAGGAGCTACAGCGTCATTTGTGTCAGAGTCATGGAGACTGTTTGCCGGGAGGTCGTCACTGTTGCGCAACGGAAGGCGCCATATGCAAAGAGAATATGGCGTGGTATTGTGCTGGGATGCGACAAAAAGAGCAACAGAACATGAGCCTCGTTGGTCCAAGCGTTGACCGGAGGACCATTGCGTTGATGAGACAAGCATATGCGAGCGAGACCGTGGAAATGTTGATCTGTTTTTGTTGTGCTGCCAAGAAGATTAAAGTGAGGCAGTCAGAAAAGAGCGAGATCAGCTACCGCTTCGGTGGTGAACTGTTTCGTTTGGGCGATCAGATTCTCCATCTGAATTTTGCTTTGGAGGATTTTAAGCGGTCCTATGGTGACGGACCTGCTTTCCAGGATGCGAGAGATTTAGAAGATGATGTGTGGGTGCGACAGTTGCTGTTCGAGGGCGGGAAGAAGCTTCAGGTCCTGTGCTGCCCTGAAGATGTCGTGAATTGCGGCCAACGCAGCCTGGGCGATATCTGCCGCGGGTGTCAAGTGCCCATCTGTACGGAGTGCTGCGCTTAGCTGATCCGGCGCATGTTGGGGTTCCCATGGCTTTGTCTAACGACAATTTCTGGGGCTACAT